CACCCCAGTAACTCTGGGGATAGCATTGCAGATTATGAATGAACTATTGACATAAAAGAATGGAGGTAGCATATGATAAAGGATCCATGGAGAAGTTCATATTTTCCAGCACCTGATCCAGTCTATACAGTGTCATTTGGTTGAGAGTAAAGCAAAGATCTGCTACTGATACTCTGTTGTTTTCAGGTCAGGAGAAGCTGACTTCTGTAGCAATCCTCCATAGTGTAAGCCTTTCTATAAATGAATAAATCAGACTTGATTTTCATCTGTTGAAAAATTATTCATCTATTTAGTGAGTCTTGATATCTCGATCATAAACTTTGCACTGTTCTTGGTGTTGTGATTATATAAAGGACACATACAAAATACATAATGTGGTTCCTGACCTTTCAGTTCATTTGAAGAGGTAGGACAGGACCTACTTCTGTAGATTGAATAAAATGCAGGCGCTCATGGCAACTCTGCCAGAGCTGCTTATGGACGCTTGATCAGGACTTGGCCCCATTAAGGGTGCATGGTCAGTAAGTGCTAATAGGAGTGTCAGAGATTTGGAAGGTCTCATGGACATGATGGATTTAGGGTAGGTCCTCAGAAAGGGGACCCTTTGAATAGATTTGCATAGGAAGGCTTATATTGCTCAGATCTGGGATAAGATTAACTCCACTTTCCCCACTGCCCTCCTTGTAGTGTGTGGTCAGGGTAAATCTGCTTCTCTGTCTTTCCTGAAAGCTGCAGTGAACCACTGAGTAGGGCTAGTCTATTAGCCTTCCTTCTTTCTCCAAGTAACCCCCAAAATTCAGGCTCTTGGTAGTGTGGCTCAACTGATGATGTGGGAAAATATCTCCCTGCTTAATTAGAATGCAGTTCGTTCACTTGGTGCCAAGTTGTCTTTCCTCGGGGCTTCCAGAGGAAGCCATGGAGTAGAATGCACAACAGCCGGGGCCTACCTGAAAGTGAAAGTGAATCTTGCTGCAGGAAAAGAGCAAGGAGCTGCATATGCCGCATCATCTGTTCCTGCTTATTTTTTCCCTCTGCTGCAATGAGACCTGCTCTCAGCTCTGGGGGAGGTAACAGCTAAGGTTGACTCCCATCTTTAAGAGAAAATATTTATCAACTTTCATATGGAATGTTTTTCTTAATTCAAATTACTATACCACTTTTCCTGCAATCAGCAGATACTTTTTAGAGACTGATTTTATGCAAGCCGGTGTCAGATGCCGGGGATATGACATTGAATAAGACACAATCCTTGCCTTCTCAAAACTTCCTGTATACACCAGAAATTGAAAAATTAATCCAGGCAATTATAATTCTGTGATAAATTCTTTGAGAGATGTAGAAAATTATTACGTACTTCCAGGAATGGTACTTCAACCAGATGGAGGAAGTACAACAGGAAAGTCTCCCAGATACACTAATGTTTAAGCAGAATTTAAAGCTGAAGTAGAAGATTCTAGGTAGTATTAGATAGGAAAAAATAAAGCAATAGGGAAATCCTTCCGCAATGAGGTAACCACATGGAAAAAAATCAGAAAAGAGTGGCCATAGTGCTTTTTTTAAAAAAGATTTATTTATTTATGCATATAAGAACTGGGTACAGGCCAGAGGTGCGAGGGGAGAGAGGATTCACCAGAGACAGAGTGGGGAATAGAACAGGCGGACTGACTGAAATAAACTGCTGAGGGGAGCAGTGGGTGAGACAGGAGAGGTCTGCTGCACCATGTGGGGTAGCTCCCTGGCTGAGTGGGGATCAAACTCATGCTGCAGAGGTTGTGGATACCTTCATAGTGCTGTGCTTAACTCCTTGCGCCATGAGGAAGGCCCTCCCCATAGTGCTTTCTTTTTATTTTTTACATCGTTTTCATTTTTGCACAATGTATGCATTTTCATCTTGGTTGTATTCTCCATACAATTCCCACCCCCCTTATTTTGACCCTAATCCCTCGTCCCCTCCCTCCCTTAGTGTGTCTCTGGTTTATAGTTGCTTGTTGATTTTGATTTTTACTTTATTATAATTAGTCTTTTTCCTGGTCCCTTATTTTCTAGATTTTTCATTTTCTAGATACCTGGTTTTCTAGATTCCTGCTATGAGTGAGACCATCCGGCATTTTTCTTTTTCTTTCTGGCTTATTTCGCTGAGCATGATACCTTCCAGCGCCATCCATGTTGCTGCAAACTGCATGTGTTTATCTTTCTTGATTGCTGAGTAATATTCCATGGTGTATTATGTACCACATCTTCTTGATCCAGACATCTATTTTTGGGCATTTGGGTCATTTCCAAAGCTTAGCTATTGTAAATAGTGCTGCTATAAACATAGGGGTGCAGGTGCCCTTTTGAATTAATGATTCTGTGTCCTTTGGGTAGCTTTTAATGGGATAGCCTGTAATTCAGCTTGACTGGAGAGAAGAGCAGAGATAAGAAAACAGTTGCTCTAAAGTTACAGAAGTAGAGAACTTGTGTCTCATATTTTTTTTATGAGCTGGTCAGCCAAGAGTGGTCACCGAGGAGGAGCTTGGGAAAACAAAATTTATGGTACTCACAGGTCCTAGAGACAGGAGGCATGGCTGGGGTGCAGGGTCACCCTGAAAAAACATCAGGTGGCCAGGAAGTAGAAACAGAAGCTGGCCAAAGATTTAGGCTGGAACCTTTAATGAGGAAAGGAAAGACAGAACAAAGCTAATAGTTTAGAACTGGTAAGTTTGAAAATTTTTGGTGGGCTTTGGGGTATAGGGGTGGAGGAAAATGGACAAATTCAAGAGATTGAAGAGATACAAATGATTAGATTTTGTGACTGGATGGATAAGAGAGGAGTCCATGTTAGTGCTGCAAATTTCTGTGGCAAATAACAGAATGTCCAACTCAATTTGGCTTAAACTGAACCATCTTCAGATGTAACTTCATTCAGGGTTTAAATGTTGTCTTTGGGGACTATCTTTCCCCAGAGAGTCTCTCACTGTTTCCTCTGGGTTGATTCCGTTTTAAGGTGTATTGTGTTATTCCTAGGAACTAGCATCATCCCAGCACCCAGTCCCATGAAAGACAATTCCACTTTTCAATGGGCCAAACAAGCCTTGGAACTGAGACCCCCACACTTTTGATTCAATGTCACTCTCTTTCTTGAGAATAATCATTGTGACCATTGGAATAAAAAGTCTGATTTTGCTTGGACTGTGTCCTGTCACCTCCCCTAGAGACTACTCTCCCAAAGCACTTGGCAGGCGAGAATTCTACCACTGAACCACCCATGCGCACATACTCTCCCAAAGCACTTGGGCTGGCAGTTGGCCAGTTGAGGCTCTTTTAAGGGGAACAGATTATCAAATTTAGAGTAAAAAGTATTTGGAGAAATAAATAGTAGCCACCTGCTTTATATCATGTTTGATATACTGGTATGGGCAATTGCATGGCTCATGGTACATTCATTAAATTTGGAGACAATGAAATAGGTATAGATTTGTGAGTTCAGAGTACATAATTGGCTGATAATTAGGTTTAAAACACAATGGCTTAGTACATTTGAAATTTCAGTATTAGAATGTGATGTCCAGTACGGATGGAGAAAGGATTACCTGTGTCCCAGATTTGTTATTTAAACAACTATTTTCTCTTGCCTGATAGTGAGTCAAGAATTTTCTGGCTCAAGAATTTCTCTCCAGTGTCCAAACTGCACATCACCGTTGTCTAAAACATGGTGGTTGGTTATGAAAATACAAAGTTGAGTGATTCACCATGATTTCTATATTCAAGGAGCTGATAGTGTGGTAGGGAAGAAAGATAAATACAAAACTACAGTATAGTGAATTAGGTATTATTAGAGAAGACCAAAAAGGGAACAGAATTAAGAAAGGGATGGATTGCAGGCTCTTTGGAGAGTTGGTGATGTCTTCAGAGAGGAGGTAATTTGGGAATAGAATCTGGCTGCAAGTGGGAAAGTGAACAGTGTATAGACATTTACAGAATTGCATATAGTCCTGTATACTGACAACATAAAATAATTGAGGTGTTGGTAAGATGTTTTGTCCATTGATAACTCCTAACAACCCGTCTACCCATCTGTGTGGGATAATTTCAGAAAGAGTAAACTCTCCCATAGACTAATCCACCCATACTTAAAAATATTTATCTTATTGACAAAGGACTAGGGTTTTGAGTAGAAATTAAAATATTGACCTTGAAGCAAGTAAATAGCAAGGTAATTATTATCTTTTATTAAGCATTAGCTAATCACATAATTTTAAAGGACAACAGGACCTGAGAAAGTGGGACTCTATACTTTAATAAACTCTTCTGGATACATTCTCAGTCAATGTATGTATATAAAAAAACTCAAGAGGACCTCCCTGGTGGCTCAGCGGTTGAGCGCTGGGTTGCGAAGCTGCCCGCAGCCTCTCCAGTGCCGGTTCGATCCCCGGCCGCTGGGTGAGGATCCCACATGGCGCAGCAGACCTCTCCTGGCGCCCACTGCTCTCCTCAGCAGTGTACTTGGTCAGTCTGCCTGCTCTGTTCCCCGCTCTGGCTCTGGTGAATTCTCTCACCCTCCCACACTTCTGACTGTACCCAGTGCATGTATAAATAAATAAATAAATCTTTAAAAAAAAAGAGAGAGAGAAAAAAAAAAACAAACTCAAGAATGTTAACTGTTGCTACCAAGACTGTGATTATTCATCAAGAACTACCAGATAGTCACACAAGAACTTCTCCCCCAACTCTCTCCTAGGTTCTTTAATTAGCAAACTCCTATTCATTCTTCAAAACACTCACTACAGTACAACACACTAAGATAATGTGACTTCTGCTTCAAGAGCAATTCATTCAGATATTAGCATATTGTAACACAATTCTTCAATTTTCTTATCTCTTATCTATCAGATTTTAAGCCCCTCCTTGGAAGCAGGAAAAAAAATCTTAGGTATCTCTGTAACTTATGTGTCTTATGGAATATGTGGAACAAAAGTAAATCTTTTAAAAGAAAGCATTCCAGTCTCATGGCAGCCGCAGTAGCCGCACCCCGAACCCCGCTCCGGCTCCTCGGCAGAGGGCTCGCTGCCGCAATGTCTACCGCCGGGCCTCTCAAATCCGCGGACTACGAGGTGTTTGGGCGAGTGCAGGGTGTTTGCTTCAGAATGTACACAGAAGGCGAGGCAAAGAAGATAGGCGTGGTCGGCTGGGTGATGAACACCAGCAAAGGCACTGTGACAGGCCAAGTCCAAGGCCCGGAAGAGAAAGTCAATTCCATGAAGTCCTGGCTGAGCAAAGTGGGGAGCCCCAATTCTCGAATTGACCGTGCGGACTTTTCCAATGAAAAAAACCATCTCTAAACTTGATTACTCTAATTTTAGTATTCGGTATTAGAAGAGAAACTGACACTGGAATGCTTATGGCTGTAGAAAATACACTATTATTCCTTAGTCTATATACTGGAACCATAGTAGCAGAGTAGGGTAAAAAAAAAAAAAAAAGGAATTTTCTATTCTGAAAGCTACATTGTATATGTTACTGAAAATATACCTGATAATGAAATAGTTTTATTTAAGTATGTTTTAACAAGAAAAAAACAGTATTCTAAAATAAAAATTGTCATTACCACATAATTCATTGAATATTTTAAGCTTGTCTCATGAAATCTTGAGTTCTAATGAAAATTTTAGCATGTATGTTATTTAGCTTGCCATAAGATAAAGTTAATATTGTGAAAAAACAAACAAGAATGTAAAATAAGGGTATGTCATTGATTAATTAATTAAAAAATTATTGCTAGGTATGTTGTCTGCATTGAAAAAAAATAAAAGAAAGCATTCTATATTCTAGCTCTAAAAGTCTCTCTATAGTAGTCCAGAGGTAACATCTACATAAAGAGCTTAATGGGAACTTCTAAAGATGATAAAATTATTAGTTAATGATGTTTGAATCCTGTTTGATTTCTTCCTCTCCTATTTTCTGTCCTACACATGAAAATACCTTGACTAGTCATGAGTCAAGAATTTGCTAGCATAATGTTGTAGGACTTTTAATTCAACTTGGAAGTTGAATTGTAATATTTATATAAACTACTAGAAGGGGAAGGTAATGGAAGTACGTGCAAAATGTGGAGGGGCGCAGTGGACTATGGGTGCCTTGGTGGTGGGTGTAGTGTGGTAACATATCCAAAGAGGTGTGAATGGTGTTGGTGTTGTATACTATATTGTTATCTCAATAAAAAAAGAATGCAGTGATTGTATTTATTATATTGTATCATGAGCTTTGGTTTTAGACCTTTAACCAAGAAAAGTGCTACATGGCACTTTTTCCTTACTAGCTTGAGGATGGATGGTTCAGATGGCCTCACAGATGCTGTCTCTCTTTACCAGAGCTTTCTGGGTTGCATCAGCCTGTGTTGTCTCCTGGAATTGAGTTTAAGTGTGGGGTACCCATAGGACATGTTCTTTTGGCAGAATGTATTCTCTATTCCATTTCTTTCATGAGGAAGTTCTATGCCTTTTAGTAGGAAGAATTTCTTGGTGAAAGATATTACATTAAATACAATGGATGCCTCCCATTGTAAAGTGCACCTCTAGTCCTAGGAGAGACCTTAAGTAACCCAATAACATCAGTACTTATAATAATGCTCTATCATGAAGTTTCTGGTGATGTCTCAGACACAGTGAGTACTCACAAAGTACATGACTGGATGATTGGCATCAGGAGCTACAAGGGTGATCCTGCAGTCATCAAGAAGTGGTAAGTACCTAGGAGTGGAATTGCTGGATCATATGGAAGCTCTATGTTTAGTAGGTCCAGAAATCTCCACACAGCTCTCCATAGTGGTTGGACCAGTTTGCACTCCCACCAACAGTGCAGAAGAGTTCCTTTTTCTCCACACCCTCGCCAACATTTGTTGTTGCTAGTTTTTTTAATATGTGCCATTCTCACTGGTGTAAGATGGTATCTCATGGTAGCTTTGATTTGCATTTCCCTGATGACAAGTGATGTTGAACATTTTTTCATATGCCGGTTGGCCATTTGCATTTCCTCTTCAGAGAAGTTTCTTTTTAGCTCTTTTGCCCATTTTTTGACTGGATTATTTTCTTTGTTGTTGTTGAGTCTTATCAGCTCTTTGTAGATTTTTGTGATCAGTCCTTTATCATTAGTGTTTATAGCAGCACTGTTTACAATAGCTAAGCTTTGGAAACAGCCCAAATGCCCAAAAATAGATGACTGGATCAAGAAGATGTGGTACATATACACCATGGAATATTACTCAGCATTTAAAAAAGATAAACACATGCAATTTGCAGCAACATGGATGGCGCTGGAAGGGATCATGCTTAGCGAAATAAGCCAAAAAGAAAAAGAAAAATACCGGATGGTCTCACTCATAGCAGGAATCTAGAAAACTTAAATAAGGGACCAGGAAAATGAATAACTGTAAGAAAGTGAAAATCAAAATCAACAAAAACTATGAACCAGAGACACTTTTTGGGGGTGGGGGGCGGGAGGGGAGGGATTGGGGTCAGAATGGGGGGGTTGCAATTGTATGGGGAATATAAAAATAAAATTTATTTTAAAAAAAAAAGAAGTGGTAAGATACTGACTGTTCTGGAGAAATGGGAGGAGCACCTGGAGGAAAAGAAATTCATTCATTCATTCAGCAAATACTTAATGAGCACTTACTGTGTGCTCCCACATTTCTTGGCACTGTGTATGAATGGACAAGATGAAGGAAGATAAAAGGTTACCTGTTTCATAGATTTATCAAGAGACCTCTCCCAAATATTCTGTCATTTACCTTCATTGCTTGTTTTAAAGCTACATGTTATGAAGTGCTCAGTGGGAGGGGGATGAGAAGAGTAAGAAGAAAATTATGCCATAATATTGTTAGAGTGCTATGATATATTTTAAATTATTTCAACTAGGTCACTCTCAAAAGAGTCTTTCTGTTTCTGAAGAGCTTAATCCTCCCAGATAATTTCTGTAATGTGCTACTCCAAACACAGCCCTCTTTTTCTTTTTTTCCCCAACTCCTTAAGCCTCATCATAGGTTGCTGAGCAATCTTTTGAACACAAGAAAAAAGATCATTATCATCATTATGCTGTTACCCTTGAAGAAAGCATGTAAAGAGACTGACACAGGATGCATAATTTAAGAAAATACACAGACACTAGAAATTGCATAATAGCCTCTTGTTCTCCTTACTGCCTCTAAATGTAATTGAGACTAAATATATGTACACACACACACATATACACACACACACCTCTTTTGTGGGACAGTATTTTGATTAAGCTTCAGACAGCAGGGACAGCATCTATTTTTTCCCCAATGTATAATCCAGTGTTTACATAGTACCTGGTACAAAACAGGCACTTAGATACCCGTTCAATGGACAAACAAATAAACTGCATTTCCAACATCTTTCTTCAGTAATTTTTTAAAAAGATTTATTTATTTATTTATGCATACAAGCTGGGGTACAGGCCAGAGGTGCAGGGAGTGTGAGGCTTTACCAGAGACAGAGTGGGTAACAGAAGAGGCAGACTGGCCAAAGTACACTGCTGAGGGGAGCAGCAGGCAAGACAGGAGAGGTCTGCCTCACCATGTGGGAATCTCACTGGCTGGCTGGGGATTGAACTCTTGCCGCAGAGGCTGTGGATTTCTTCATAGTGCAGTGCTTAACTCCTTGCGCCATCAGGGAGGCCCTCTTCAGTTATTTCTTATGTTCATCTTTTGTATTTGTAGCTTTTGTTTCTCATGATTTCATTTCAGGTTTTCTTCCTTCCCTGCAACAATGCTTTCATTAGTTTATGGAATTCCTCTATTATTGGAGAATTGCCTTTAATTACCTATATTTCTATCTGGTTCTTAGGCATAGTTCTTAGGCATAGTGGAGGGTCAGATCTTCAATCTTCACACTGCTTTTTCAGTTTCCCCCCCAGCTTTTGTTTCCATCCTGCCACTGGATTGCCTACTCTATGAAGCCAATATTTCCTACAAAGCTCTCTTAAGTACCTGACAGTTTAACTATGGCCACAGGAGCACTTTGTCTGACTGGGATTTGATATCCTTATCCCTGGGAGTTCAACTTCAATTCCAACTTCAAGGCAGGGGATTTTACTGAACAAAGCAACTGCGAATTGGGGGAAGGAACTTTGGGTGCAGACCTGAGTTAATGTTATTATTACCACTTACTAGGTGTTCAGTCTTGGGAAAGTTACTTAAATTCTGAGTCTTGGTTCATTGATGGAATTTCTTAAAATCACTCCATAGATTTGTTTTAGATCAGATGCCTAAACCAGTCCTACCCAAAGTGGAGGAGCTAAAAATCCTTTTGGCAGTTGTTCATTATCCATGCATCCATCTTTAATCTTTCATTATAAGCTTGAAGTCAAGCATTTAAAAATTTATTATGTTATCTGATATACACCCAAAGACCTGGCATTGTATCTGACAAGTGAACACTGAGTAGAGGCTCAGTGTATATTTGCCGAATGAATAAATGGGTTAATCAATCAATCAGTCAGTCCATCCATCCATCCAAAAATCACTGACATATCTGCTAGGAAATATAAAATGATGACTGGAATGCAGTTTGGAATTTAATGAGGAAGACAGAAATTTTCACAGAACCAGTCAAATATCTGTTAGTGTCCCTGGGGCTACCATAACAAAGAGCCACAAAATGGATAGACATTTATTCTCTCACAGTTTTGGAGGTTAAAAGTCCAAAATTAAGGTGTTAAACAGGGCTCCAACTTCAGCTCCCTTCCAAGTCTCCAGGGAGTGTATCCTTCCTGTTCTCTTCCAGTTTTAGTTAACCCCAGGCATTCTTTGCTTTTGAAAAGTACAGCTTCAATCTGTGCCTCTGTCTTTTTGTGTGTCCATTTTTCCATAGTGTGTCTGTGTCTGTGTCTCTGTTTCTTCTCTTATAAAGATACTAATTGTTTTGTGTTAATGATGCATTCTACTCTAGCATACCCTCATCTTAACTAATTAGATCTGCAAAAACCCTACTTCCAAACAAGCTCACGTTTTGATGTGCTAGGTGTTAGAATTTCATATGTTTTTGTGGAGGACACAGTTAAACCCATAGCAATATTAAATCTGAAAACGGAGAAAAGAAGAATGTACTCTGGGGTCAGAAGAAGGGAAAGGGTAATTCTAAATTGTGAATGAATAAGAGCAAGGAGAAATTAAGGTAGACTTCTTGGAGAAGCCTTGAATGAGGAGTAGCAAGAATAGGTAAGGAAGAGTCATTTTGAGTTGAATAGACAACATCAGCAATGGCAAGAATGGAGTAAAAAAATAAATGGTACATAGTTTACCACCCCCGCATTGGTTCAGTCAGTCATTACTTGTTGTTTTATCCTTGTTTATTATCCTTGCTGATCCCAAACATCAGTCTCAAAACC